AGTAGCGATGCCCTTTGCTCCTAGTAGCGTCCTCTTGCTCCTAGTAGTAAGGCCAGGAGCCCCTAGTAGCTTCTTGTTACTAGTAGCGATGCCAGGAGGATCTAGTAGCGTCCTTGCTCCTAGTAGCGATGCCGGCGATGCCCTTTGCTCCTAGTAGCGTCCTCTTGCTCCTAGTAATATGGCCAGGAGCCCCTAATAGCGTCTTTGCTCCTAGTAGCGATGCCCTTTGCTCCTAGTAGCTTTATTGTTACTAGTCAGCAAACACATTTTCTATGAACAATCATGAAACATCTATATTGAGATCCATCCTCTATCTCACCATGTTTCAGGAGATTGCTTGGGTGAGTTGCATGCCACGGAAAAGATTGGCAAACCTGGGCTACCAATGCAAAACTACAGACTGCATCCTTCTTCCTCTTCCGAAGAATTCATCGGACGCTCATTTCGCAATGTAGGGATCTTCGACCACATGTCACAGGCCAAGGTGCCACATGGTAGGAGTCAGAAGCACCATACCAGTTGACACCCGCCAGCTTGAAATGCCTCAAAACCATGGGAACATGAAAAGCCACTTGGAAAGCCATATCTTGCTGCTGTTCCACCCGGTAGCCTTCTTTTCATTCAAAAAAAGGGGACCCAAAAGCTGCCTCCTCCTCTTTGATTTGAAAGTATATGCCTATCGTAAACGGAGGGTGGTCGTTGGGTCAAAGGGGAGAAGACGGTGTTGGCCTCACTTGTCCATGTGCTCTTTGTTTGGCTTGAAAAAGGCTGTGACGGTTGGGATGAGTGGTAAGGGAACAGGGTGCAACTCAGTTGTAGTAAATCTTGACTTGAGGCTAGTAGAGCTCCGAAAATCAACCAAAACAATTTTACCCAAATGGAAAATGGGTCAGTGTCCAAAAGGCTAAGCAAAACGGGAGTCCATTTCTTCACATGACTGCAAGGCAGTACGTACACTCCTTGAAACAATATGAAATAGCCATGAAAGTGTCTGTAGCGGGGAAATAGTCATCCAAGGGTCCATGCCATCCACTTCTATGATTTTTCCACGGAGTGTAACAAGCACCTTCTCATTGAACAAATACTTTGACAATCTTTGACAAGTGAACAACTACAGTGAGAAGTGAAACGTGTGAAACGTGTGAAACTTATCCGTTAGCCGCCCCATCATCGGCCGATCACCCACGTTAATCCCAGCAGCTGGCCGCGTTGGTTCACGAGACGGCAGCCGTTGGCCCTCAATGGAAATTGGCTTCGCCATTCGTCCATGGAAGGCTGTTTCAAACAAAAATGAACGTGAACGACGTGGACAGCTATAAGAATCATGGGACAAACAAGGCAAGCTGCCTCCCTCTAAATCAACGATCCTGACTCGAGCTTCTTGGATTCGATGTTTGTTGGTGCACTGTATTTCCCAAACCTAAAAGGCCGTCGTTTGCTCGGGTCATGTATCTTCAAGACTGGAAGGGAATTCACCGAGTTTCGGCTCTGTGATGTCTATAGAACCCTATACTACTCAGCAGCTGTGAGCAGGAAAAGCGGTCAAGTATGCAGCATGCATCAAAGGAAACATCGTGCTTTGCTGACCCACGGGTAATGGAGGAAACTGGAGTCAACATGACTAAGAAACCAGAAACCAGGAATTCCATCAGGATTGTGCTCAAATAGCACTGGATTGAGCTTCACCTTGTAAACCTACGTATGTAAACCTGTTTGTCTATTTGTGTGAGCTGTCTAGATGCATTATCGACAAGCTGCCAATGACTCACAAAGGGCCGGCACCACATCGCAAACTCCGCTATAATATATATAATATATAATATATATCTTACTAAAGTTTCCTGTGAACAAAAGCTACAACATTCAAATTCCAAATCACTCCTAAGTAGAGGCTCTTAAAGTTACACCATGCCTCAGTTTCTCTGCAACCACGCACAGTTTTTCTCTCTTTTCGCCCTCGCACACCTCGAGGCATCAAGACCGCACGGACTGTCTCAGTGCAGGGTCTGTGGCAAATACTCTGCAAGGTATCCCACAAGACATGTATCGCGCATCTATATATTATATATATATATATGTATATATAGATATGGGAGTAACGCATTGCGCTGCATAGAAGAAACATGAGACGTGGATAAACTTGGAGCACTTGTTGACAGCAAAAGCATTGGCATGAATTGGCACTGTCTACCCTCACATCGACACCAACGAACAAATAAAGAAACTGTCCCTTCGTTACTTCCGGGAGTTCTTGCTGTCTTCCCTTCCGTTCCTTTGTTTTTGGTGTCTCGCCTGATTGGTCCCTGCGGCATGCGGTCAGCCATCGTCAGCCCTGGCAGTAGGGAAAGGTTCCTATATGCATCGTCTGGAGCATTCACTCGCTTCCAGCGATGAAGCGAGTCATCAACTACCAACTTTCTCATTTTACCCCAACTGGGAGTCATCATGATTTCTTTGCAGCCAACTGAACACGTGCGAAGAATGTACGGTATACTCTAGATACTTGTACCGCTTGTACCTGTATTCTGTTGGCAGCATGTAACATGTAGGGTATTTGAAGACTGGAAGTAGGGCCATTGGGAGGTTAATCTTCCGTGCATAAGTCAAAATATGTACCTGGTGCCATCTGGCGCCCACATTACATGAGGAAAATCTGGCACAGTATGGATCAATGAACATGTGGATACATCATGTTCAACATACTCAACATGCAGTCAAAACACCTTTGCCTGTCCCCGATCAGTCGGATTGATTGTATAAAATGGCGCAAAGGTGGGACCATGTCCAGGGAAGCCATTAGGAGCAAGGACGCTACTAGGGGCTACTACTAGTAACAAGAGGCTCATTGCTACTAGGAGCAAGGACGCTACTACCAAAGCACTCCAAGTGGTCAACTATTCGCTTGCAGTCTGTCCTGTTGGGGCAACACATACACAGTGAAACAAACACATGCGGGCGGTGTACGTGACACGCTGGCACCTTGAATCAACAACAAGTCTTTCGTAGAAACCCTCCAAGGAACAGGAACCATCCAGTTGAATCCTGCTCCCGGCTCGATGCGGTCGGGCAACACCCATCCACATAATCCTTTTTGGATTCGCTCTTGGAAGTTCATCTTCTTTCCTCACAATAAAAGAGGTGGAAGCCACTTCCGCTCCGGAACGGCGGAGAACAGGCACTTCGAGGCGTCACAAAGGCGACCTCTTGGAGCCTCGAAGGCTTCTCTTCCTTGGTCGAAACCGAAACGGCGGTTGGCTCCGCGGGAGCCCTGGTTGACCATCAAGAATGAACATGGTAGACGAGACAAACTACATCAAACTACTAAGTAGGGAGGTGAACTTACTACATGAAGTGAAAAAGCATGAGATCACCTAGCCGTTTTGGACTTTCATGCTTGACAAGGTCTGGGACCGTAAGCCGTAAGCAACATGATTTCGGGACCCCCCAAAAAAGAGTTGAATTAGCTTTTTGTTACTACTAGTAAGGCACTTGTTACTACTAGCGTGGCACTTGTTACTGCTAGTAACAATGTTTACTGCAAAAACCAGGCGTCCTTGGAAAGCCATCCCAAATCACCTCCAGCCGCTCCAGTGGGACACTCGGACCGCTCAGTAGCCAGCGAAGCAAAGCGCGCACTGCTGCAATGGCGCAGAAAGCCTTGTCGGTCCATGGTGCCTGTCACGGCGAGCTCCAAATAGATTTTCTTGGCCTTCTCCACATTATTCACCAACACATGGCGCCCACGCACTTGATTGCAGGCCTTCTCTTTGGGGACAGGCTTGGGTAATTCCTTGTCATAGACTTGAACACCTGCATCCCCCTCCCCTGCTAGCATGGCTTCACCCTTTCGTCGTTCCGCCTCCCAACGTGCGCGCGTGAAGAGCGAGAAGTCCACCGGGTCCGGAAGCGCCCGGTCCCGGGACGTCGACTTGGAGCGTGGCTTCGACGTCATAGGGCGTCGTGCTGTCGTGGCGCGAAGCGAGTCTTTCACGTCGTCGTGTCGACTGAGAAGACTCGCCAAAGTCTTGGCAGCGGCCAGGAGCTGTGTATCATCAGACGACCATTCCTCTACAGCTGCTGCAGCGCCACTGAATGCTGTGGCCGTGTCGGACAGTACGCTCGTGGCACCAGGCAAGCTGGACTTGAGCCGTGCCAATTGGGTACGAAGGCGAAGTAATGAAGCTCTATGATCTTCAACCTTCTCCACCCAAGTCTTTTGCACTGCTGGAGTCTGCATTCGATCTTCACTGACCCTTCCAATCCAATCGAGACTTCTTCGTCTGTGCACTCTCGTTCGCAGATTTGCGCTTGGGAGGCGGAGTCTTTGGAGGACGAGGAAGGGGTGGTGGCTCTTTGGGAGGCCTGGGATGATCTCTACTTCTAGCTGCCTCTGCGAGGTTCGCAATGGCTTCCGCCTCTGCGGCAGCAACTCTCTCTGCTTCTTTTGCCTTGACAAATACTGCTGCCTCGGCCAGTGTCACTACAGCTGCAGCTTCGGCAGCAGCTAAGGCAGAGGGTGCGAGCCTCATACGGCTCAATCTGCCTTGAGCCAATCCATCGGATGAGCATTATGCTACGGAAACACTCTCGGAAAAGATCTGGATTGAGAAGACCTTGGACATCGTTGGACAACTTAATGAAGCTGCTAGTCTCATTGATACAACTGTTCATGGAACTCTTGCAACACCCTTGTGGATGCTCCCCTCTTTCCCATTGGATCCCGGTGCATCAAAATCCGAACATCGAAAATACGGCGCCAGGCCTCACTTCTCAGGGTATAGAGGGGCAAGTCCTGCGCCGAAACAGATCTCAACCATCTCAACCATCAAATCTCAACGAAATCGCCTGACTTTCGTCATCAACCGATTCTTGGAGAACCACCAGAAACCGCGACGAAAGAACATGCAGGTGCCTCGGGACCCGATGAGCTCTGGAAATATTGCCAGGCTCCCCAAGCTAGTGCTCCGAAGACCACCTTGGAGGAATGTTCAGGAGGAGCTTGGGTTTCTGATGATTCGCATTGCTATTTTATGGAGTCATGCGGAAAACAGCATGGCATGCAATGGGTGCTCTGGAATCTGCTTCGCAAATGTGCACCCGCTTGTTATTGAGGATCAATGTCCTATTTCCTGCGCTAGAAGCTGGAGGGTCCAGGTATATTGCATACCTATAACTACAAACACATTGAGCTCCCAGGTTCCAACATCGAGGTTGCATCCTCCAAGGGCAATTGGACAGTCACATGTCGGAGCATGCTAGCTGCTGAACATCCTCCATGTGTCGACGGGTGTCTGGACTTTGGCAACATGACCCACATCCCAACAAGTCTGGAGTTCCCTGTGCCTGTTCTTCACCATTTCTAAAAAATGAAAGGCTGTTCACCCAAGCGCACTGTGAAGAAGCCAAGAAGCTAAAAGTCCAATGACCTTGGATGCAACAAACGACTTGTAGTGCGAAGTGGCACCATGCCACAAGTTCGTTGGAAGCGAACGGTGTAAAAATAACGAGACATACCTCTGCGGACAATCCTTACACCATAGTATATTTCTATATATTTGTCTATGTCCATGATAGACCATCATGTCTAGAAAGAATCCGTTTCGAGGAACTATTCTTACGTTATGTGGTAATTGACCGCTTTCGTCTGCGAGTGAAAGGTGCCAGCTGCAGCCATGCAACACCCAGCACATTGATGCGCACCACGGACACACGCCTCTCCGGCAGGACATTCTTCGTTCACTTCCGGTACTTTAAAAAGGTCAATGCTTGGGGCATCCACACTCAGTATACACACTTGTTTGCCCAAAAAGCAACTCCTAAGTCCCCAAGGGTGCATCTAGAGCAAGCAACCTGTTGAAATGAACAACATTACCAGGGGCCCCTGTACTCTGTCAGGCTTTGTTTCGAGAGTAGTCGAACATAGACACCATGGATGGAGTCCAACAAGCCCTGAAACTGGTACATGATCATCCTCCAAAATGGGTGTGTATTTAAATGGGGGGGCGTCTTTGAAATGTTGGCTTTCGCATCTGTTTGGGCATGCGTGTCTGGACGATGTCGAAGGGGAGACCCTCTGACCCTGGCTGGGTAGACTGGTCTATTTCCCTTCTTGTAGGGAGTGGGACTGGGAGGTCTCCCTATTTGAGCTGCACACTCGTTTCGATGTCCCACTTCTTAGCTGAAGGTGATTGTGCAGGTCCCCAGCGCCCCTCACTTCCTGCTCGACCACAAAACAGCCCACTTCTGAACCTTGAAAATCACTTTTCCTAAAATGTCCTCGTAGTTGGAACCCAAAGAACCAGAAACAAATGAACCACGGATGTGCCCAAAAAACAATTTGTTGTGTCAAGGATCTGAGGAACAACAATGAACAACCATCATTTGTTTCTGTTTTGTGTGGAACTGCAGGCACTTTTGCCCATGTCCAACCTCTGTACAAACTACACCGGAAGAACCCACGTAGCTTCCAACACATCACGTCTAAAACGACTTTGCACTCAGGTCGTTCACTCCACTCCATGTTCTTTATTATTACTAGTAGCGATGCCCTTTGTTCCTAGTAGTAAGGCCAGGAGCTACTAGTAGCTTCCTTGCTCCTAGTAGCGATGCCCTTTGTTACTAGTAGCGTCCGTGCCACACACCTGGGCTCCATCTTCTGCAAGGGCCGCGCGCGCAGCATCGCTTTCCGCAGCGCCTCCGGGTCGCCGGAAGTGTGTGGAGCCGAAGCTGCATCAAGCGAAACATCTAACACACCATTGGTGGCTTCGCGCTGGTTCTGAAAAGCAGACTTTTTGCATTTCTTGTGAAGGAAAAGGTACAGTCATGACTAATAGCTTAGAATTCTCTCGCCAAATGGGCAGTCTCAAAACCATTCTGCCTTCCTCCGCTGATGGAATTTCAGGAATTTGGAGTTTGATGCTGTTGAAGCAAACCTGTGTAGCCCTCGAGTCTGGAGGTCCGGAGTGCTGTCGTGCCTACCTCGGCGAGAGATTTCCGGTGGCGCCTTGTAGATCTCCGGGAGTCTCGGTGTCAATGCGGGCCTTGAAAGGGTGCAGGGTTGGGGGTGGTGGGCTGTGGTGGCTCCATCCCTGCAAACCCTGCCACTTCCGTCCACTGACCCCCCCCCAGTCAAGTCGCCAGAATTCTGCCCAAAGCTCATCCAACTGCAAATCCTCGAAGGCCCGTCGCGCCAGGGGCGACCTCGTCTTCCGTGGCGTGTGGCTCAGGTCGAAGTTTGACATCGACGCAGGGCACACCATGATGCCATCTTAGATGGCGTGCCGAGTGGTTCCAAACGGGATTTTGAGATGAATCAAACTAGGAATTTTGGATTAGGATACCGCCTGCAAAGAATGCCTGCAGAACTTTAAGAGTGAGTGGAAGGTGGTGCGCAATTCTTAGCTTGCTTGTCCTTGGATCTGATCTGGACCCTCTGACAGCAACACATGGATCTTTGTTGAAGTCCCGGGAAGACTCCATTTTGAGCATGGAGCCCTTCAAGTAACTCTTCATGTCAGGTCTTAAGTCTTAAGCATAGCCCCCAAACGACTTGATGAAGGAATGTGGGCAATATGGACCAACATGGTTTCCTGGATCTTAGTGTGTCTTTTTTACTACAAGTAGTAGCTTCTTGTTAATAGCAAGGCCAGGAGCGCCCCTAGTAGCGTCCTTGAGTCCTTCTGCATGCTTCACCCACACCGTCTCTGCTGACCGGACTTCTCGAAGCGGTACAAGCGCCGTTCGGCCTTGCAGGTGAGGGTAGCTTAGGCTACTCAATCGCCTCCGATCCACTCGGACTCTAGGACACTAGACTTCAACCTTGCATTCTCCCATGTATTTTCCTGAGAAAGACTCGCAAAACAAACACAAAGAGCTTCGAGAAAAAAAACAAGTCGAGGGTGCTGGTGGGAGATGCTTTAATTTATCGCCGCTTGCCCTCGCAAACGGCCTGCCAATTTCAAATGCCTCCCAATAAAATCATCTCAGCAATTGACAAAACAAAGAAATCAGCGATATGATGCGATATGTCATCCACCTGCAACCCAGTGGTTCCTGGCATGCGCAAGCGACCAACTTAAACTTAAACATACTTAAACCATACCAAAGCTCGGCAACTTTGTTTGAATCGAAACATTGCCAATCTCATCACGGCTCTCGCATCCACCATCGGAAGTCCAACACCCTGTCAGCTCAACCACCTCCCCTATCGGCAGGAGCGTGCAGGTTTGATCGATTTGTCCTTTTCAAGGGATGCTTTGGATTGCATTTTGGAGCCACATCCTGTCGGAAAAGCGCTGCCAGCCTCTTCTGCTTCATTCAGGTCCTCACGAATTTCAGACACCGGAGCACGGCTCAATTACCCACCTGGAAACTCACCCTGGAACAAAAGGTTGTTCCATTATCGTAATTGCGATCCTTAATACAACAAGTGGCTGTTTGGGCAACATCCATTTGTTTCTGGTTGTTTGGGTTCCCAGGCTAATCTATTGTTTTCTCTTCTTTTCACGGTCATATTTTTCCCGTAAAGGCTACGCCTTAGCAGCTTCAAATTGGCAAGTCGGAGAGTTGGTTTTGAAACTATTCTGGGTTTTTCAATAAAACACCTCACCCCGTGCAAATCCAAGCTATATGTTCATGCCCAAAGATTTACACATTTCAAAACTCATCCACTCCTCTCGTCCTGCCTTGGCACGCGCTCTCTCGCACATGTGCTTCCAAACTGCCATGCGGTCCTGGATGCTATTCAGAAACTTCGCTGCTTCCAGCATCTCGGGCGGCGCCACGACGCCTCAGCTCTCTGCAGAAGTCGAAAAACGGTTGGATTCAAATGATTCAATCGATCTTAAAAACACTTCACCGCAAAATCACAAATAATCTGAAAAGAAAAACAACGCATCTGGGAAAACGCATCTGGGAAAAAACAACATTTAATTTGGGAAATCTTGAATAGAATGTGGGCCTTGAAAGATCTGAACGCTCTGCCAAAACCTAAAAGTATAGTACTCTGCTGAAGGCATTCCTGTACCTTGGAACTCTCGAACCATGTGTTAATTCTTCAAATATGCAAATTCTTGAGATCTAAAGAAAAACAACAACTTCTTTATATATAAAGAACAAACACAACTATTATATACATATAAACATGATATATATATACACACTTGACATGCTTATTTCTTCTTTGGCATGACCCGCAGCGACCAGCCTCGCTCATCGAGACCCTCCCGGAACATCAGCGCCAGCTGTGCAGAGAACTCGGGGAGCTGGTCATAAGTGGCCATCTCCTGATTTTCACTTTGGTGGTAGTAGTAGTAGCAGTGGTAGAGGTAGTGGTGGTGGTGGTAGTAGTAGTAGTATCAGTAGTAGTAGTAGTAGTAGTAGTAGTAGTATCAGTGGTAGTAGTATCAGTAGTAGTAGTATCAGTAGTAGTAGTTGTAGTTGTAGTAGTAGTAGTATCAGTAGTAGTAGTAGTAGTAGTATCAATGGTAGTAGTATCAGTAGTAGTAGTAGTATCAGTAGTAGTAGTAGTAGTAGTAGTAGTAGTAGTATCAGTAGTCGTAGTAGTATCAGTAGTAGTAGTAGTAGTAGTAGTAGTAGTATCAATGGTAGTAGTAGTAGTAGTATCAGTAGTAGTAGTATCAGTAGTAGTAGTAGTAGTATCAGTAGTAGCAGTAGTAGTAGTCGTAGTAGTAT